GGCCGGAAAAATGGTAGTACCTCCGTGTATAAAAAACTGGATTGCAACGTTAGAAGGTTTTGTGGTTTTACATACAATTTTAGTAGAACAGGGCAGGTGCAAATATTTTTTACCTAGATGTTTAAATCAAGATGTTATTGAAAACTATTTTGGCAAAATCAGAAGTCAAAGAAATCGAGCAACTAATCTAACGGCAGCCCAATTTAAGGAAAGTTTCAAATCTCTATTATTACGCAATTTTTATAGTTCAAATTCAGTGGGCGCAAACTGTGAGAAAACGAACATACCGGATTTATTTCATATTAAAAGACTTGTGGATAAAAACACAAATCAACCTTCAGTAAATGAAACGAGTTACGAAATTTTAAACGTGAATATGTACATTTCAAAACTGTCTCCATATAATTTAGAAAAAGATCTTCATAAAAATATTGTTGGTTATGTGTCTGGCTGGGTTGCGAAAACATTAAGAAATTTGAAGTGTGAATATTGTAAAACCCAAATTTTAAACAATTTTTCGGAAGACGAACAATGTTACAAATTAATACGTATAAGAGAATACAATTGTAATAACAGAAAATTGCAATATTGTAAGTTAGATTTTATAAAAAACATTAACAGAATTTATAATATTTCAAGAATCGTTTTAAACAATTGTACATCTTTCGACAACATCAAAAACAAAATTTCGTTTATAGTATCTCATCATGTCAAATTTTCGTTTCATTGTGAACATAAGGAATTAATTGAAAATGAAATATGTAATAAAATTATATATTTAACAATTTTTACGTTTGTAAAAGGTTTGAATTTAATTTTAAGCGGTCGCGATACAAGAGTTTCCACACATAAAAATGCATTATATCAAAACGCTTGTATAATGTACCAAAAAAAATTAAAGTCAAAAAATCGTAGACAATACTAATAAATTGTATATTATTCTACTTTGTGTTTTTGATATTATTAGTGATAATAAAAATAAAATATTAATTATAAAATATGCAGCAATGACGCATCTAGTAGTTCATGCTTTAGCACCGGCCACAAGGCACCAGGGGGCGTTTATTGAGACCAAAAATCAAGTGGGAGTTTGCATTCTATTTACGTAGTATTATTTATCTATGAAGAGGTACGATACGTGTTGCCATCTATTAATAATTACACTTAATAATTTAGCAAAATTTTAATTTGACTTGACATTATGGGACTTCAAAACGTGTAATGGTGGTTTGTTTCGGTATGAATGCCTTTGTGCCTTTCAAAAAGTGTTAATAATTCTTTTGTCGTTTTTGAATTATTAAAGATGGCAGCACGTATGGTACCTTTGGCATTCCTTTGGACAGGCCATAATCTTTATACTAGTCGGCCATGATCCGTGTAACTATTCCATGAATCAGCACTTCACAAACACAAATCGGACATTGGTCATTCCGATGTTAAGGTCGTTCATCCCACACCTGAAATTGTAGTCGGTTTTTTAGTAAAACTAATTTTTACTCTTCGAACGAGCGGTTTTATTAAAATTCTGTTTAGATACCCTCGTGTCCCGTACTGCTTCCCCCTCACTGCTGCCATCTAGTTGTAGCGCCAAATTTGAAATTTCAAATGTAGGTGACCACATATTGTTAAATAAATAACGTTCACGGCTGTTATTATAACGTCCATGGCTGTTATCAGTTATAATATAACAAGTGATATGATTATTATCGATAATATTTCGAGTGAAACCGAGCTGCAGATTCAACGAGTGCGAAGCACGAGTTGAATGTGCTGCTTCGGTTTCACGAGCCATATCTTCGATTATTAATCATATCACGAGTTATATTCAACATGAGAATATAATAAATGAACACATTTTTTAATAATAGAATTGATTTCGTCGTTTTGAGCTTGCCCCCAACGTTGGCAAGCCATAAAAGACAAAAAAATTTACGAAATTTTTAAATTTGTCAATTTGACAGTTTTTAAATTTAGGTAGCAACAGACCACAATAAGGCAATAAAATTATTATCGCTGTGATAGACATGTAACTAAGGGCATGAACAAATTGTATTGGAAGAAATGGGGTCATGTGATTCATGAATTATATTCTCGATGACATAACTTCCATGGAGACACTACGGATATGATCAAATAACAAAGAGGTATGACGAAAAAAAATGTTTTGAGTAAAAAACAAAATGTAACTATGACACCGAAATATATCATGCAAACGTGATCAAACTATTTATTTTTTAATTCATTTTTGGATAAAATCTTGAACACACCATGGATGTAAACGGTGCCATAACCGCCTTGGCCATCTTAAAATCCTCGCTGACGCTCGGATGTATGGTAGGTATGTTAATAGCCATTTAAAGCCAAATTACAGCCATTAATACTTTGATTCCTTCATTTCCTTTATATTTAAAATCATACTTATATATCTAGGTGTCTATTATAATGTAAAGGGATTGGGGTTAATAAACATAGTAATATTATTATTAACACTCTACATGTTGTGCCACGTAAGTTGATACAAAGGGCTTGAAACTGGTTGTCACTATTTTTGTTAAAATCATTAGCCAATTACTGCATTGGAACCTAAACCGTACACATCAAAGTAAAGTAGCTCTTGCGATCCGTTCGTAGCCCCACAAACCAAAAATTTATATCTAGTGGATCGCAGCGGAATGCACGTCATCGTTTTTCCACAACTGCAGGGTGTCATATATCGTGTTTTTAATTGCCGGAACAAATTCCCATGCTATTTTTCCGGGCCGATAACAGTGTCATCTATTTTGGCGGCTATTTCATCTTCTTTCATTTATTATCTTTATAGAGTGGTCCATTAGGGTAGCTGCGCTCGTCCGTGTCCCAAGACCCAAGAGGCGTCTAGCTGTCACAACACAAGTGATGTATTGCCGTGTCCACGACAGTCCGTTATCCCTTGATAATTCCCACTAAATAAACTACACTTTGCCTTTATAAATATTCAAAGTAGCAGGGATTTAAATTTCGGACCTTTTTCACCTGCACGCACAAACAACTGAGATCTAATGAACGGCCCCAACTTTGAGAAGTCATTAAACGGATTGTAGGACAAAATGGGAGACAAAACTCGACGGATACCCAACTTGTCGGTCGGTCCTAATATTTCCATGATAATGCGAGGGTAAATAATATGGACTTTCGCAAAAGGGTTAATTCGGTCATATACGAGCGGAACAAACGCGGAATTATAATCTTGCAGGACATTATTAAAGGTCATTCATGTTCTGCGTTTTCTTCCGGGGCACCATTACGAGCCGACCTGTACACGCTCGATGAACATGTTAAGGTCTGTCTTAAACGATCAAATCGCAACTGAATACATTAAATCCGTACGTACTCTAGTGATAAGATGTGAACACATCAAATTTTGAAAATGTGTAGATTTTAACATAAAGTTTTTGGCTAAATCTGCATATCGCATATGGTATACCTATAAATTATTACATTAAAGAATGAACATACTCGATATAGTCAAAACACAGGAACGTGTATAGAAAATATCGACATTGTATTCAGTACTTTTCATCTTCTGAATTGCTAGTTGACGTAAATCTGTCCGATCATCTTCTGCAATTAGTAGAATTTAAAATGCCATTGTTACACAACAAAGAAGCAATAAGAGTTATAGGACAAAAAATTCTTACCATAAAAGCAACATTTTCGCAGGAAAATTGGAAACAATTCTATGACAACACAGCTCAAAATTTGTATATACTATAAGATAGGCCTACGTTCAGTTTTGAAAGGGCGCTGTCAACACAGGAACATTGTTGGTTGCCAAGCCAAGATAAATCATTTGAGTAAAACAGAGCTTTTTCACTGAAACTACAGCGTGTTATGCACATGTTAATCAATAAACAAAACCATAAACACGATAAAAATTTTATAAAACAATAACTAAATTTTATAACAAATATTCGAAATGACGACCCCCCTGTTCCAAGCAATAACCAAGTCTGTGAAAGTTTTTAGAAAGGAAACAGAATGATGGAATTCAAACATAATTGAAGAAAATAAGAGATAATTTTACTGAAATTACGTTTTTAATGTCTACGATCGAGAAAACCTGTATTTATAAATCTGCCATACAATTTTCAAAATATGCTCTTGCCGGACATGCGACGATGTGGAAATGCTCCAGCAAAATTTTGCTCCATTTCTCTATTGATCGATAAGCCAGTAATCGAATGGGTAATCAACTTTTATAAGTGTCAGGTAAATGTTTTTTTTTTACATCGCTGCCTACAATATTACCGACAAAAATATCCAAAAATATTATTTTTTTTAAATAATTATCCTTGAATTTAAAGCATAACCTGTATTAAAATTGACAAACGATGACCCAAATTACATCCACTAAAAATTTCAGCTATGAATCTTTAGTCAAACATAAATTAACATGGGTTATAAAATTTAACATGGGAATCCTATGGCCACTTTAAAAAAAAAAAAAGATGCACTGTATGTAACGAAGAAGGAAACTCCATCAAAAATTTAGAGAGTCTTTAATAAGCGTCCTTTCCACAATATTTATTACAAACCGCCGGGAACATATGTGCTTCAAAGCCTTCCAACGATGATCTTACCACTGCCATGTCTGTATATATTTCTGCTCTATACTTATATTTATTGAGAAAATTAAGCAGACTTTTATTAAAAACTGACTTCTATGAACAAAATATTACCAAAATTAGACATAGGAATGATTTGAGAATTGAATTGTTGAACATACCAAGAAACATTCAAATTTTAGCTACAGATGAAACTTCAACTAATTTTGAAATTAACATATTTAACTATGTTTTGCCTTGTTTTGAGCATTTTGAATCCTAAAGATTGGACTTCTACGTACTTGTCTTGTTATCGTATGCAGTGTTCTTTTTCTGCACTCATTGGCAAAATATATGAAATATGAAATATGATATTCTGAGTAATAGTAAAATAATGCATGTTTTTCTTCGGTACAGACGTCCCCACGTGTCGCTTCGAAAAAATCATGGTAGTGGGAGCTTCCAGAGGCGAGAGTGTCGACATCGTCTGCGAAATCGACGCCGACCCCCCAGCTAAAAGCTACCGGTGGAAGTTCAACAACTCGGGGGAAACGTTGGATGTGGCGGCGGAAAGATTTGCCAAGACAAGTAACGGAACAGTGAGTGTCCTGCGGTATACGCCCGTCTCGGAACTGGATTACGGCTCCTTATCCTGCTGGGCCGTCAACGCCATCGGACATCAGATTAATCCTTGCGTGTTCCAGGTTGTCGCAGCAGGTTAGTGAACGCTCGTGCTGTTAACTTGCGGCCTGTGTTCCCGGATGAAGGAAACTAGAACGTTTTGAGGAGTTAAATGGGGCTCAAGTGCGCCATACCCTCATCTAAAAGTATTTTGGTTGCAAATGACTTTTCTGTCGTCAACGCATCAATTTTTCTAAAACTGCAATCTTCTTGATTTTAACTGCAATTCCGAAATTTAACTATACCTTTACTGTTTTTAACATCAGTAGAGAATCGGTACTATAAGCAACTCCCTGGCCGGTATCATTAAATTTATGTGCTGGAAATAGGAAGATAGTCGTATTGCCTTTTATTTGATGACGTTGAACTCGAGCGCCAATTTTTTTAGGAAATTATTATGCTTCTGATACCTGCTTGAATGTAAAATAAAATGCCATGTGGTCTCTATGTACATGCTTAGCATAAAAGCCAATTTTGATAAATAGCTTCATGCAGTAGGTGTTCGCTACTCGTTTTACTTTTTAGTTCAGTCGAGCAAGCAGTTACTCACAACTCTAATAAATGCTCCGTTAATGATTGACGTCCATAAGCTAAAATTGTGCTTTCGTTCGATACTAGATACTAGCAAGTATTAGAAGCATAATGAAGTATGACAAGATGAACCAACTTTCTTTAGAATGCGACTGTAATTTTTTACATTGTACTGTAAAAAGTTCAAAGTTTTCTTAAATCGTTTAAAAATCCCATTCAATCGCTTACAAAAAATATCAGCTCTTTCGCGTGCAACAAGCATCATTTTCGAACGACCTCCGCGTAATTCCTAACCCTTTCAGGCACATTTTCTCGCGATAAACTAAGCGGAAATCTCTCCACAGGCAAGCCGTTTCCCGTACGAAACTGCTCCTTGTCTAACCAAACGAGCAGTTCGGTGGAGGTGATGTGCTTAGCAGGATTTGACGGCGGTCTTCCGCAACACTTTCTCCTGGAGTTGTACTCGGCTAGTTCCACCAGTCCCAGATACAACATGACGGGCCTGAACGAGCCCTACTTCTTCCTAGACAACTTGGAGCCAGATGTTACCTTCAGGATCGTCGTGTTCGCCGTGAATGCGAAGGGAAGGAGTCACGGAGTCGTGCTGGAAGAGGTCACGTTTAGGGACGCCGAGAAACGCACAGGTGAGTTTTATTAAGTATGGAGAGGTTAAAAGTGCCATTATGACGGCGGCGATAAAACGCACGGAAGGTGGCACGTGTTATGATGGGTGGTCATTCAGGAGAGTATGTGTTTTGCATGTTTTCTTTTTGTTTTCTTAAAGAAATCGTGAGAATTAGGTCTTTTTTCAAACTAGGTAATGCAATAACACGTGCAAACAAAACAAAAAGAAATATTTTTTTACGGAAGTTATTTAATGAAAGACTGAATCTATTGAACTGAATAATTTTATTTAATTATAGGACAAACATCTCTGAAATGTTGACGTTTTGATTTTGATAAAAATAATAATAATACGAAAACTACGCAGTCCAACGTAATGCATAAAGATAATAATAATACTTAAAAATATATATCTTTTACTATGTCATATTGACAACATTACAAAAGGCAATTTGAAAACCATAACCATCTTCATTATAGTAGTGAGTACCATAATAAAATCCATACTGTTCAATACTATTAAAATAGATAAATCAGACTAATCATAAAGCAATTTTATTCAAAAATCACACAAACACAAACTTATCGGAAAACGCTGTTTTAACAAATCGACAAATCAATGTCACTAGAGGTCGGCATCGGTATCGAAAATCTTGGATTGTTTTCATTAACTTGTACATTAGTTTGTATACTTGCTTTTGAATTTGCTGCCAATTTTTTTTTTTTTTTGTTATCGATGCGATTTTCTATGTATCCCTCTACAACACAGTTGCTTTTCCAATCTCCATGACGTTGAATTTCAAGAAGATCTGCGTTATAAATCTGCTAGCAAGGAGGTAGAAAACCTTCTGAAACATGTGCAATGTATTCCTCTGGTGAGCAAGTTTCAAAAACATAACAATAATCTTTGACCTATCGCCAGTAGGATGTATTGTAATTTGTTATAATAAATAAGACATCATCTTGACATCTGAATTAGTGGTTTTTGTGGTTATGTGAGCCACAGACCACATATGTACTTGTGGGGTGTGAGCGTAACTGTTGATATAACTCAGAGACTTTTAATACATAGACTGGCTGTGTCAGGAAAAACGTGAAGTTTTTCGACCGCCATATTGCTTATAACCGTAAGTGCGCGAAATTTGAATTTTCAGGTTACAAAATGCAATTTAAAATGTTAAATAAAAAAGACAACAAATTGTAATTATTTATTTAACATAATATCTATATGTATATGTAAATTTATTTAAAAATATTAATGTCCTTGAAACAAAATTAATTTCGTGAAGTTTTGTCTTAGAGATAGCTTTTTCACGCTCAGTACTTAAGCGGCACTCATAACCTATTCCGAGAGTCAAATGATTTCTCAAAATTAATTTAAGCAATAAATTAAAATGAGAATTATTTACGTCCAACTAATCCATACTAAACAAATGTTCATTATGTAGAAAAAAAATGTATGGTTCTACTTTGCAAAGTTAAGGCAAACATTTTAGTTACCAAATCATTTTTAATGGCCATATTTACAAACAATCTCGTAAGTCCCGACACACAACCACTTTTATTTCGAGGTGTAGAAACGTTCTGTGCTAGAAACTACTGCTGCTAACCACCACAACCTCGCTTGATTTGACATAAAAGTTATAGCAATGGCGTCCATACTACCATGCGCCGTGGCTTCACCAAAATGCATTAGAAATGTTACTAACAGCCAGTCTATGTATTTAAAGTCTCTGATATAACTACACAAATATAACATATCCACTCGTATGTAGGCATCATTACAATCTTCATCCTGGAAGTATTTTCGATGATTAATCTAAGCACAACAAAAAAATTTGTGATCGTACTTACTTTCTAAGCTTGTAAATAAATCGACTACAACAGTTTTGATTTTTTATACCTTGCATTTAGTTTTATAATGAAGATAAAGATAATAAACTGTTGAAGAGTAATTCAGAACTGACAGAACCAATCTTTCATATATTTCTTTTGTGTTTTGAAACTTAAAAAGTTATTATTATACTTTTAATTTTTAAATACATATTAAATCTTCATTAATCTAGAAGCTTTGTCACATCATTGACTACTAATAGTTTTTTGTTATCAAGCTTATCTTACCTGAACATATAAACTATCTCGATGTTTTATAATAAAAAATGTTATCGAAGGTTATTTCGATAGAACTTCCCTCGCCCCTGAAGTACACTAAAACATATCCAGCTTCTTCAAAAAACTATAAAATTGAATTTTGCGAATTTTATTTATTTTTTCATAAGAATCCCTATAAGGTAAAATAAAGATAATATATGTTAAAGTAAATGTAAAAAAGCATGCTACGGAAATGTTGCCAATGAGTTTTTCCTTTACAAAATTTTATGATCAACATTTTTGCAGGGACCCGTTATCAATTTGGATAGCTATAACACTAATATTATATTTCCAAATTTTAGGGAAAATGGAGTAAGTTTTTTAATGAGTAAAATAAGTTGATACATTCATTAATTTTTTGGAGTCACCCTGTGTAAGCAATTCTAAAAAATATTAATGTAATGATAAATCACAAGTATGGGCTCATCATATTTTGCATATTTTAGGTAGGATTTATTTGGCAAAATTTTGAGATGACATCATCAGTTTTTAGTGAGGTCGTAAACGGATAAATTTAACAAAGTTTAAGAATTATTTGTGATGTAATTAATTTGTTATTAATTTATTCATTTACATTAAGACGATTACCAAACATATCTGTGTTAGTAAACTGAGGGGTAATGAAGGGTAATAATTAACTGCTATCTAATGTTCCACAAATAATTCCAACTACCAAAGGAGTTTAACGAGGTGTGGTCAATGCCGTTCATGGTAACAAAATAATTACGAATTATATTTCTGGCTAGAGATTTTTTACAAATATCGCAACACCACGAAAGATCTGTTCTGTGCTCTAATCTATAGGACTGCAGGGGGTATAGTTTCTGATAAATAAGTTTCAAAAAATCTAATAGTATCATACCACACCATATTCGTAATTAATTTTCAAATTTGTAATAAACAAATTTTGAATGAAACCAGGTGCAATATATAGTAGCGTCACTGATTACTATTAATATTTACCTGTTTAATTAACCCAAGAGGTGCAATTATTTATTTTGCTGCATTTATCATTTAGGTTTTCAAAATAGGATGTTTGAAAATGTTAATAAATATTAATAACAGTGTCATATAGCGATTTATTATGCACATAGTTTGCTGCAGCGTTTATAATAAATTTTAGAGGAAAGTTCCAAAACATGTAAACTAGTAGTTTACATAGTTAATTTAGTAATATATATGAAAAATGAACTACTACAACTGCATTCATTTAAACGAGTTTACTTTTGAATGTACATATGTTCCATCAAGAAAAAGTCTGCGAGATGTGGTTTTAATTGTAATAGTTTGAATTCATTCTCAACTTTTGCAACTTACCTTAACTCATCCTTCCAAACATAATCAAAGAAATTTATGGTATGAATATGAGCTTTCATAATACACAAAACCCTGCCTTTAAACAATAGCCCAATTCCGTTCTGTCAACGCCGCTGATGCACGAACGATTCGTGATATCTCAACGGAACAGGATAACTAATCGTTACGGGAGTGCAGAACTATAGCATCGTTTGCAGTTTGTGCATAGGAGCTTAGCTCTAATCTAAAATCAATCCTGCATAGGTAATTCTGACCGATAATTGCTTTCGAACGGCCGACGGATTGTGATAAACTCCCTCACAATATGAGATTTAGCAAGAGTTATGGAACGCATTTGTAACGTCGAGCGCAAAAGAGTTGACCTCACGCGATACGTTTGTCGCCTCTTATCGCGGATATGTGAACTGACGGGAAAAATCACTCTTTCTTTCAAATTAATGTTATTTTTAAAGGAATGCACGTTTTCTCCACGGAGAAACTTATTGCCATTTACATAATCCTAATAGGACGATTAATTTGCTTAGGGAATAAACAATGGAGTTGATAACACCGCATTATTTATAACCGTTCTGCACTTCGGTGTCGGGGTAATTGTCGTCGTTCATGCGACACTTGCGCGTGGGGGAGATAATGACGAAATGTTACAGCGAAAGCTTTGTTATCGGAATAAATAAACCAAGGATTGTTTCTTATGCGATTTTAGAACATTTTCAGAATTTTATAGCGGAATTCCGTTTCTTGGACCACTAGAAATTTTTATTAATTTAAGGTTGTGGACTTTCAAACTGCCTGCTCTCTATGATGTGATGACTTAGAGGAAGATTTTTCTGTATACAAAACAAGTTTCTAATTTAATGTTACGACAGATCCCTAACATTTCAATTTAAATATTTATCGAATGGTCAATACGTGTTGCTAACCTTCAGTAGACAGCAGATTAAACGAAGTAGAACTTTTCAATGTAAATCTGTCTATTTTATCAGGAACGTAAAATCATGCCGACAAGACATGAAACAAGATGGTCAAAATGCCCTAAAAATACATTTCGAGAACCAGTACCAGGGTAGGTACTGAATTAAATTTCCTTCTTTAAACTTGGTGAAGCAAACTAATCCTACTTATGAATGTGTATGTCCTATTTTAGAATTTAAATGTGTATAAGTCAAGGTACCGAGAAAGGTGGAGAAGCCGCAGGTAGTAGAGCTCTTGATTATCAGTTATTGTGATAATTGAAGCGGTATTTTATTGTTAAACATAACAAATGAACTATAATATAAGCTCATATCTATCCGCCAAAATGCGAAAAGTTTTTTTTTTAATATGGACATCCCTCGATAATAGGGGCAATTCTGAATGAAAGTTGTTAAATTTAAAGGGTGTTAAATTGCAAATTTCCATAGTAACGAGTTAAATTCGTAAATCTGATTGGCTGTTTATTTTTTAACAACCTTTAAATTTTAACAGGTTTGATTCAGAATTGGGCCTAATATACCCTTAGGGACTTTCGCGACATTCCGGACATACTGTATCTACACCTTTTTTTTGTGATTAA